CTAAGGAGTAAAAAGTGGGAAGTTTTGAGAACCAGAACGTTATCCTAATCACTATTAGGGATTAATTAACTTCATGGATATAGGTATAAAGCTGATATGTCTCAGTACCCTTCAGTTCTTCGAAAGGGAAAAGTGTTATCACATAACTGCTTTTCGATCTTTATTAGTAAAAAGCCAAAAGATCGCTGCTAGCAGAACGTACTTCGATAACGTCGCGACCATGATTGTTGGTGTTTATCGCCGTTTTTTGAAGTTTGTAAAGTTTGTTTTTTAAGTTGTTTTTGCACCAACAGAAGAAGTCACCACAAGTCAAACGATGGTCTGTTAGCAGTTGGTTATGAACGAAGAGCCTTCTCTTACATTATCATCCAAGCAGCAAAAGTCGTTACGGTTGGACGCCTTTGCAACTAAATTAGCGTACGTTTCTGTTTTTCTCATTTGTCTTTGGAAAATTTAAAAGAGAATATTGTGAAGTGGAATTCTGGAAGATTAATGTAACAAGGGAAGAAATGAGATTGTCACTTCGATACGATCGTCTAAGGTCTTACCTCGGGAAAATTTCGACAAGTTACGTTTAATATGCTTAAATATGGATTTAACATGCTGGTAGGCTTAGTAACCCTGATGGTTTGTTCTATGCTCCCATAGATTCCACAGACAAATCTAATCTGTGTTGTTTCAAAACCGACTTCCCCTTAATTTCGGAGTGACTGCTCAACATGTATCAAAGAATTGATGAGCTTACACGAGGTTGATAAACAGTTTTATTCGGCTAGCGTTTCGATGTCATCGTCTTTATCAGAGCCGATGAACAGAGTACGGTCCACAGTTGTTCGTTAACGATTAATTATTAACCCCATGTAAGCTTATCAATGAAAGGATACCTATTGACTGGTTTGTGCAGTTAGTACAGGTTTGTTGTCATCTACCTATTCTGTAATCCAACTTTGCATAGCTGGTATACATGCTCGATTTTTGAATTTTTCAACCTTTCTGCTTCCGTATTTTTCCTTTTTTTGTAGTTTGAGCACGATTTTTCTCACTGGTAGATTTCTAGTATTAAAGCGAGATTCGCTTATCATTACAGAAGTTATTCCATAGTGATTTGTGGGGAATAAAACTAAGTTTTTGTTCGCTCGCCAAGTGTTTAAGAATAATTCAGCACTCTGTGGTGGATATTCTATGGGTACTAGCTGCTGATCGTGGTGTATGTTTCAACCAAGTGCAACGAACAAAAGTTTTATTTTCCGACTTCCAATTTCATCCCTCCATCAAAGGATGGATTATGGAAAGGATATGCTCGTACCGGGATCCATCACAATCCAGTAATGTTTTGGAAGTCTTTGTAATGTATCGCTTTGCGTAGTACCAGAAGCAAATATTTTTCTCTCACAGTTTTGTTGCTTTTCTAGAAGGGTGAAAATAGTGCTCACATTCGCAAACATTTTATTTGCTAGCAAAGTGTTTGACGATCGTTTCCTTCTTGATTGAGAATTTGTCATTTTGCCCTGAAATGCAGTTGTTAGTGAGTAGTACCTATAAGTAATGACACTGCTGAGAGAAAGGCGAAATGAAGGACTCGCATGGTTTGGTGGTGAACACGTTAGCTCTCGGAAAGGGTAATAGGGCGTTCGCTTTCCACCACAGACACCAGCGGTCCAGAGTTTTCCAAATATCTCAGCATCATTACGATTAGTGGTTTGTCTAACTCTATGAATTGAAGAACTTATTGGAAAATGTCATGAAGTGGTTCTTAAATGATAAAAAGTACTCGTTAAGTTGACCAAACGATGAAGTTTTCTAATTTTTATAAATTGAGCTTTACGGAGATCCGTTCGGGGTGTCACTTATGCGTCCAGTAAATATTCCGCTACTTTTCTCTAATTCTTGTACCGGATAAGCGAATCCGGTTCCCATCAGTCATCTTTGTTTGGTTAAAATTGGCGAACAACACTTGAGCGAATCCCGAGCAAGTTACATTTTAACTTGATTTGATGTCATCATAGTGTTCTCACTAGTGCTCAGTCTTCATGGGTTTCTTTCGCGCCAGTTTGTTGTGCTCATTCAATACCTGTTTAGAAAGGACAACCTCGCAAAAATATCAGCAAATGGTTGCGTTGAATCTAGTCATGAGAATGGCTCGGTGAAAATGCTGGAGACGAAGATAGAAACTCGGATGGTTAGCTTTGCATGCTTGTTTGTGTAACCGTCTTTTTTACTTCTTCAACGCTTGTAAATATTTGAGATATTGCATACAATACCTGAGTAACAGATCTGTGTTATGGTCCATGTTCTAGTGTATTGAATGTGGCAGTGGGTTCTTAAGTAGTGGAGCCACTGAGGTATGCGATACATGTTCGGGCGTCGAAGGAGCTATGCAGATGGGAGTCGGACTCGTCTGTCCACTATGCTCTGGGCTTGTACTTAACCACAGTACTGCTCGGATTTGTACATCATGCAAGAAGTAGGTTTTTCCACTATGGGAGGATCGCTGCGATTATTTTCCAAATTTTGCAGCTACCCCTGAAATGAATTTCTATTCTTCTTGAGGCGTTTTTATACGTTAATGTTTTCTTAGTATTTGCATTCTTTATTGGATCATATAGTTGTTTTGTTAATATTTTCGAACTCTTGGTTTTCCTTCTTCATTTGCTTTGAATGAGGGCAATTTTTGACTCACATGGGTTATTAAAGGTTTGTGCATCGTGAATGCGACCGGTCCGATGTGAACTTATCGGAATTTGTTTGCGCATCGTGTAGGCGTTCGCCATTAGTAGGTGATATCATGTTGTCCTCTGCAATTGGTCCTGCCTCTCCATTAGGAGCAGAGTCTGGTGTGTTATTCAATTTCGCTTATAAAATTGTCTTTCAAACATATATTGTATATGTCTTTTGCCAATAATTATTCGTTGTTTTGCTCCAAGTTCAATTTCATCGTTCTTTTATCAGATTCTATCGTCGCTCCTCCGTCAACCTCCGTGTCGGATTTGACGCTCAATCCATTTCCTTCAAGTTCACCGGTCAATGCCAGCGTTGTTCCTGATTTCAACGTTGATGTTTACAATATGTCAGAAGGAATATCATCACCTGCAACAACAAGTGATTCGGCACGGAATTCGCCGTTCTATCCTGAGAATTCTCCATCTGATGTTGACGAAGATTTTGTCCCTGGAAGGTATGTTGAATAAATAGTAGATTGGACTTTGTACAATCCAGCTACATTCTTTTCTGCACGGTTTTTTTTCTTGCTTTTTAATTATCCTCATATATGATTTCATTTCTGAGTTATTCAATGTTCAAGTTCGCGTGGCGGTTATACTTCACGGGGTCGCGGCGGTGCTAAGAAGAAGCCTGGTCGTGGTGGTTCTAAAATGAGAGGGGCGAAACCGCATGGTGCTGTGGATCCTTCGTTTTTTGTGCCGTCCACACGAGGGAAACGAGGGAAACGTGGTTCGAAAATAAATGGAATAGGAAAGGCGCCTGGTAGCGGAAGAGGTCGGGGTCGTGGTCGGTAAGAAATTCAAGTGCTCAATAAGTAGTTGTTCTTTCTAACTTCATCTGCGGTTTTGGGTTTGTATAGTAACTTTTTCAGGGGGTCTGCTTCTCTTCTGCAACAAAGTGCGGTTTTACAGCAAATTATAATGCAGCAGCAACAGCAACAAATACAGCACCAACATGTTCAGATAAAGGAGGTTTGACTTTGTATAGCCCCGAATCGATTGATTATATAATTTTTCTGGTTATCATGATTATGTTACAAAAATGGTTAGGTGGATGAATCCATGATAGAAGAGGACGAAGAACGAAATGCTCGAGTGGATGATGCTGAGTATGTCAGGACATCAGTCATATGTGACTCACAAGATCTATACCTGCGGCAGGTGCCCTATTTTAGTCAGCTTCTCTATTACTAAATTTACTTGTCATCTTGTTACTAATTTTATTCGCATGTAATGCTGAGATATTTGCAAAACTCCGGACCTCAGGTGTATGCGGTGGGGAACGAACACGCGCTGTTGTCCTTACCAGGGGAGCAGCTCACTTCACCACCACACCATGCGGGTCATTCGTTTTGCCTGTCTCTCAGCTAGTTCTATTGATCTTTTGCCATCAGCAATCACCAGTGAACGGGTTTGATCTGGGGAGCCCAAATCGGCATTGAACCCAGTTAAGCTGAGGCTTAGTTATAATCACATTCTTAACCTTTTATTTACTGCCTTTTTCTTTTTGATGGCAGGATATGTTGCGAAAAATACCCTGCCATTAAAGAGAAAAAAGCATTAAATAAAAGGGTTAAGATACTAATTTTATTGTTTTCATTTTACAGGCAATTGGTAATGTTTATCTGTTTTCTTAAACTCATGCGCTTTAAAACCCTTGTAGTTAGCACGTGACTTCATATGAGACCATTACCAGATATATATATATATATATACATATACATACGTGTATATATGTGTACATACGTATATACATGCATATGCGTGCATACGTGTGTGCATACTGTTTTTAGGCAAGCCTGTGCCTTGTTTGTGGTGCTGTTGGGAAACCACATACTCAAGAGAGCTCCATGGTTGCATGTTGCAATTGTGCGCAAACTTTTCACACGTACTGCGTCGGTCTGCACGATAAGGTTAGTTTACAATTGAACTGAAGAAGCTTAGAAAGGCTAAAAATGCTATATAGAATGTATACGTATATTCCAGTTGTGTTGTACATGTTTCTAGTTGAATCAAACGGTCGTTACCCGGGGTTGGCGATGCCTTGATTGTACCATATGTGAAGGGTGTGGAGAGGGCAAAGACGAGTCTAAATTGCTCCTATGCGAGGAATGTGATGTTTCTTATCACATATATTGTTTATCACCACCTCTTGAGCGTATTCCAAATGGCCCGTGGAGATGTCACTGGTATGTTCTTCTTCTTGCCGTGTTCTCTTAGTATTACACATTTTGACCGCATTATTTTAACCAGTATTTTTGTTTGTTGTGTTCTGTTTTGATGATCATTCACGTAAGGTGCGCAAGATGTCGTCGATGTAACATGCGAGTCTCATCTGGTACAGATCTATCTCGAGAAGGGCTGTGTACAACCTGCAGCTCACTTCGGAAATGTCCGAAATGTTCGAAAGTGTATAATCTCGGTGAAAAGATTATCAAGTGTAGTGCATGTGCCAGGTAAGAACCCATTCCTTAAACACTTAGTAACTGTTTTTTTCTGGCACTGGTATGTAGAAAACTAGCTGAGACAGGCGAAATTAAGGATCCGCATGATGTGATGGTGTACGCATTAGCCCCCGGAAAGGGTAATAGCGCGTTCGATCCCCACCGCAGACGCCTGCGGTCCGGAGTTTTGCAAATATCTCAGAATCATTGTGGTTTTATTCAACATGTTTTTTTTTGTTTTTTAATTTCTGATTTGTAGGTGGTATCATGGGACTTGTGAAGATCTTTACAACGAGGAGATGCTGGAATCGGCTTCAGCGAATAAAATGCGTTGTTCTGCATGTCGACCTAATGGGAGAAATTCGTCCACTTTTATGGGAATTAGTATGTTTTCTGTCTTGTCTTTCTTTTTACAAAGTTTTTTGCCTTCTTGTATGCCCAATATGTGCGTGAACATATATGTATTTTCCTTTTTTCAAGTACCATTTTATTGTGGAAAGTAGCCTTTAAACAGAGCTTCTTTGGTCTATTAACGAAGTGCTAGGTGCTTATAAATTGTAGATGACCACTCGAATCTTCTCATATGCGATAATGTGGCCATGAACAAATCCGCAGAAGAGGTGTTGCAGTCGCGTTTCATGCCAAGTTTATTTCGACCGAATCCACTAGATTCGTTCGGATATCGATCAGATAGCTTCGATCATTGTAAGTATTTTTTCGTTGTTTCCAGTTAAGTATACTTGTCAAACCCGGACTTTCTATGTTGTTTCTTGCAAACATTTTCTTTAAAAGATGGCATGGATGACGACTACATCCAAGATGAACTGGAAATACTATCTTCAAGTGGTCGTGGTCGAGGTGTAGGGCGAGGAGGTGGTCCAGGTCGACGAGTCCCGAAACTAGGTATATTTCGGAGTTTTTTCTCCTTTAACTTCAAGTTGTTGAACACTCATGTTTATCTACCTGTCTATCTTTCGTTATTATCCAGGTGTTGGTGGATTTTTCGTGAAGATTCCACGTCATCGTCTGTTGACAATGGAGGATGATCTGCCAGATGAAGACGGTAATAAACGGCAAAAGCGTCCTCGAAAACCACGAAGAAGTCAATTGGAGGACGCCTATCCGCCGGCTATTCAGGTAGTCTTTCATTCCCTACAATAAGGTTTTTTTGCTCTACTTTGGAGATTCCTTTTTCAGGAAGGTTTTTTCGGAATGCGTCCTGTTGAAGGAAAAGCTTTGATTGATGCTGTTGTTGAAGAACCATCCTTAGCTGAATACGGTAAAGGACGAACAATTACTGGTACTGAGGCAGGAAGTCGTGGACATGAACTTTCTCATGAGGCTACTGAGCAGTTGAAGAATGATCTTACAGAGGTAACTTATGTAATCTGCTAGTTCGTTCAAGTGAATATTTTTTTTAATATGGATATTATAGGTAGATATCCTTGAACACCTTGATATCGGTGAAGTGGATTTGGACAACATGGATATGGATTTTACCAGCTGGATGGAAGATGATGAAGATGACGATTTTGATGACAGTTTGAATGGTATGTTGCTTTTAACACCATTGTTTTCTTTTTTTATGTGGGTTGAGTCGTTGCAACTTGATTTAGATGCTTTTGATATAGTGAAAGCCGACGGTTTCGAACCAACTACTAACAACACTGATTCTGCATCCACTTCTTCCACTTCTGCTCCAAATGGTCCGACAAGTCAGTGATGATGAACCTTCCTTTTGAGTAACGAGCGCTCTTAACTGTCTACATATATACATGTTTATACATATATGTATATATATATATATATATTACATCAATCTACACGTGTGTACATGTGTATATACATGTATATGTATTTATACGCTTATATATGAATATGTATTCATACATCTGCATGTGTATCTACATATGTAAGTACACGCGTACGTTGTGTTGTTTTTGTACCTCTATCTTTACCTCTATTTCAGCATTTCCACCGAATGACATAGCTAATATTACTCCCGCGTCCGCTACACCAACGTATTTAGTTACAAGTAACACAAAGTCGCTATCCCGTAGTAGTAGTCAGATGGATGGAGTGGAAAAGAACAATCCAACTACAGAACGGTAAATTACTGGTGCTACATTTTTGTTCTTATTGTCACTATTATTATTATTGCTTTTATTATTGCCATCATCTTATCAGTGCTAATCTTAGCTGTAACATTGGGGGTAAAATTGAACATTTAGATTTTGCGCACTTTAACTCTTTTCGGTAACAACGGGAATGTTCACTGTTTCGCTTTTTCTCATACAAGTACTGTAATCCTGCTCTTACTTGTTTACTGAATATAGTTTTTTAAAGTTACTTGGATACTTGAATGTCCCGTCTTTGTCGGTAGTACGGGTACTAACAAAACTCCCATTCGTTTTTTCTTCGCGCAATTAGAGTCCATAGTTGTGGTCTGCTTCGAATACGGTGATGTAAGCGTAAGTTCTGTGGTCCATAAAATTGTTTTCACCTGCAGATGCAACGAAAACAAAGCGTAAAACTTTAGTTGCGAACATATTCGCTCTTCGTTTGGGTTGGTAGTCAAAGAGGATGTTTGCATTCAGTTTAAGTCCACTACACTGCACCTTTCGTCCATTTGTGTCATCTGTTCCTATTATATGACCGTCCCCTCTGTGCTTCGCAATTAGCGTATGTTCTCCTGGATCTGGAAGCTGAGATAGGTTCGAAGACTTGAACTACGCATTCTGAATAGACGGTTTAATATCGGAGGGCAACGTTCAAGCGCTCTGTGCGTGGGGTGCAAATTTCTCGACGTAGTTGAATTATCAGCCCATTTCTCTGCTGCGTAACGGAACGCTGTGAAGATTATTGAATCGAAAAGGTGAGAGTGGATTTTAGTGTCTTTTAGTTGGTTCTTCTTTGAGAGGCCCGAATGCCGGCCATGCTGCTCTCCTTCTTCTGTCTAATTCTTCCTTATTCTTCCTTCATGTTCTCTATGTTCATTGAAGGTTGCATACGGATGAGATGATTTCTGTAATCAGAAAACCATCCACTTTGGTTTGTCCGCTTTCGCACTGTAGGTGTTTCATGAACTGGGTTCTTCCGATTCATGTGTAATGCGATCTTTTTTCCGCTTCGTTGAGCTTTTTGATCATCGTCTGTGCTTCACTACTACTTGTTGAGAAGATGGCGAACAAAGATTTGCTGTGAATTTTCCATTAATTCCTATGGACTTCGCGTTCCAATCGAATGACGTCATTATCCGCTGCAGTGTAGCGTTAAACAGTTTTGGGGGTTTTGTGTCGTCCTAACGAACGACTTTACCCTATGGATATGATGAGCGGTTGATCCAAAAGATGTATATTTGTGCTGCAGTTCCAATAGCAGTTAGCTAGTGTTCCTGTATAGAATGGGTCCGCTCCTTGCTAAACGAGTACTGATAGGATAGCATTTGTTTCATTCGTTTCAACACTGTCAAACGCTTTCTTGTACTCGGCAAAGGTTAAGACTAGAGGCAGATAGTATTCCTGGGAGACTTCAAAGACCCTGGACACAATTTGGATGTGGGCCACACAGCAAAATCCTGGTCGAAATCCTGGTTGCGCAACATCCAGCGTCCTTGATGATCGCGCCATGATGATCTTTGTGAAGAGCCTATAGACTACACTTAACAAGCATACTAGACAAGTAAAGAGGATTCCTTCGTTCATCTTTCTTAGGCAGAATGACCGTGCGCGACGTCCTCCACTGGTCTGGGGTTTTTTTCGTTTGAAGGTAAGATGTCATACATGTTGTGAGAGGTACATATAATTTATTGCTTTCTGACCGAAGAGAATAGGCTGCAAAATCACTATTTCGTGCAGCTGTGCGTCTCTTTACGCTTTGTTTCACAATTTGGAAGTTATGAAGAATCGCGGGCGCTTTTTCTACTACGTAGATTGCGAGGTCTTAGACGTTGACTGTGAAACCGAAGAGGTTGATATAAAACTTCTTTTATTACCAAATTGGTACTATGGCGAACTGTAGTGATAGCCCCTTCGCTGGGCAGGTAGCAGAACATTGTAGTTGCACAGATACGACGCGTTCCTTCATACTAGATCGTCTGTGAGCTTCATCCAATAAATTTTTTCGTCTCTACCGATATAGATCCTCCTGCATAGATCTTCTACAGCTAGCGTTTATTATCAGCCGTGATCTGAAGTTCTTGTTTGAGGAGCTTAGGAGAGTCGGCGCATGTTTGAAGTCCTTCGACAAGCAGCTTGTAGTTCTTGATCAGGTCTTCCTTAATCTGGCAGTTGTATGTGTAGATGGTTTTATTGAGAATATCCTCTTCGTACACGATTTATCTAGTTTTTCTTGCACGATAGGACTTCTTTTCCAGCTCAGAAAGTCTTGACAAGGAGAAGGCGGTGATGGGGTCCAATACAGAATTCATGCACCGTTGAGATGTCAGAGGAACACCATTTATGTCATACTTGTCTGGGATGAACTCATTCCCTCCAATCTATAAAAGGGAGCGACTTTCTTTGGTGAAGGTCTGGAAACGTCGAGTCGTCATTCGACGGCATTTGTAGATAGGATCAGAGTTCATCAAGCAACAGCTGAAGTGACGCGCAGAAATCCGAATATCTTCATGTGGACTCCGCACGATGTATGAAGTATCTTGGACATGTAAAATAAATTGGTGAGCTTAAAAAGATTCGTAGAGCGATAGAGCGAAGTCTGTTCTATAAAGTATTTAAATTCCCAGGTCTTCATCTTCGAAAATGTCGTAGTTATTGAAAAATTGTTAGCAGTTGTTGGAATCATTCCAAATGGCTTAACCAGTTTTCAACATTCTTGATTTTTTGATTTTTCAAACTGTTGACTGTACTCCTTTAATCACCAGTTGTACCAAATTACACAAATTTTATGCGGTTTCTAGATATGAAATCTCCGTAGCTGGGAAAAACTTGCTCAAATTGAACTTTATTGTTCAAGATTATGGTCTACTTTTTCACCGACTAGGCACTATGTTTGCCTTCCATCCACGACTTTTTTTATAATTTCCAACATTACATGTTGTGCGGATCACATCACTTCTTCGATCTAAGATGTTCGGATTTGCGTACGAGTGGGGATACCACTTGAGGGTTTTATTCTCTTCATGAATGTATTTGAATGCTGGTCGGATTGATGACTGCGACAGATTTGGTAGAGCGTTCTCAGTTGTTCAATGCAAGTAGTTGCAAGGCTTCATGGATCAGGCCGAGTTTTTCCCAGACATGTCTGTTCCAACTTTCCCGATGTCGAAAGAATGGAAGGTTTAGATGGTGTGTGGTGGAGGCCGAACAAGTAATAACCGGTGACTATTCGCGTAGTATTACACGGTATCCCTACTAGCTTCCATGTTCCATTCCAATACAAGTTTTGTTCGACCAATTTGATCAAATCTGCAGAGACCTCTCTTCTACTTTTTGTGTCTTCGTAGAAGAGTACAAGAGAGTTTGAAGGCCTTTAATGATGTAAAGACGCATAAACGTCTTCCTAGGTGGTTTTTTTCTGTCATAGTTGTCATATGTTAGATTCTACACTGGTTTTGGTTTATGGAAGTGTTTTTTTGTGTTTAAGTCAGGAAATTTTTCCCTAGGAAATGTGCATACTAAGTTTAATTAATCGTGCTCCAGTTAAGTAAGCAGATGTCTGCACGTTATTTATGCATATTCATTCATAGGTGGGAGGAGGATGAACCGCTGGGAAGTCAGGCGACTAAAGCTGCTGTACTTTATGCGAATGAAAAACACGGCTATTTAAAAGTAAGTCCTTCTTTACCAGTTTTTGTTATTCCGATTTTTTTGGCGTAAACGTGAATGTAACGATTGTCTTAGGAGAAATATCCGGACTGGAATGATCGTGTGAAACACATCCAGCGTTTGTGGCGAGTGTTGGATACTGAGAATCGTCAAGACTTCGTCAGTCGAGCAAGGGAGAATCGTGCAAATAGAGGGAAACAACCAAGAGTCAAACGAGTTGTGGTATGCGCAACATTTAGTAGTTGTTTGAATTTATCATCTAGCTGTATAATTGTCGTTTATATATTGGTATTATTTACATAGTCATATGTACAACTTCTTCAAGATAGGATTGGTATGCTTTTTGAAATGGATAGAAGAAAACCTCTTGGCTCACTCTTCAGAATTTATCACCTACCCTCGTGTTGGTCATAGAGTAACGTAGATGTGCACCAGCAGTATTCATTTGTCCTTCTTTAGCTGCAAATTTGACTTGTTAGCAGCCGTTCACGAGTATTAGTTAGTATACATAATGTATATCGACAAAATTTTCAACGCTTTGGCGTATTTGGTAGACCTCTGATCACCAATGTGAATTGGAACTTCGGAGTCCTCCTGTTGCGTGATCCGGGTACTGTGGCATCACTCCACTCAATTATGTATTATGCTGACCAATATTTAATCCTACTTATGCAGTGTCCAGATTTTAGAGGCGTATTTTAGGACAAGAGGAATCGTAGAGTCGGTGAGATTTGCGCGGATTCGTGTGTTTTTTGTCATCTTGACTACATTTATATGTTCTGTTAATTTCCCTAAGCAAAAGTTTTCTCTTGTTATTACATTGTTTAGGTTTTGGTGCTTTTACGAAGTTTTTGCAAACTGTCTTTGTTTAATCGACGAGGGGTTGTTGAAGCGTATTTCGTTTCTCATTAGCTAACGTTTCGGGATTTCTTCTTAG